TTCAGCATATTCACTTAAGTTGGCGGGACTAATGCATAGAGGGGTAAATGTAGTTTTTATTCAGCGACTAAGAAATTTCCTTGCGACACACATTTTATTACCAAAATGCTTTGAAAATCGTCTGTCAAGTGTTCCACTGTACCCCACTTGTGGGGCACATTCGAAAAGACTCTGGGGCACAATGGGTCAGTCTGCCAAAATTCAACGAAGTATGCCCTTAAAAATAAGCACTTAATCAGCATAATCGTCTAAAGAACAGAGAGACTTCAAATTTGAAGATTTAATATTTTTTAAATCAATGTTCAACTGGAATAGTTCAGATATTTGGACAAAAAATTTTGCAAATAAAACTGATTATTTCCTTCCGTGAATCTAAATGTGGAAATATTATTTATTCTCGAATATATTCCATATTGGGCCATGGGTCGAAAGAAACCATAATACTACACAAAATATAACGCATCTCTAGGTCTCTAAGCACTTATTGTATCAAACACTGTCGAATTGTGCCCTGTAGGGCATGTCCCACTGGACCCAGGTCCATTGTTCCCCATAGGAAACAAATATTTTCAGACCATCCCACGGCGAAATTCGGAAGGCACATCCACTCGCCAACGTTATGAATATTTTACAGTGGACTAAAGCTGAAAAATATCAGACGGTGGTTTGTCATGTTGGGAAGGCTACAGTAAAAAAAAAGAAAAAACTGAAACGGTGAAATTTTAGTTTCAACCTCCCAAAACCAATTTCACCTTATAGCTTGCGCCGCTCTACCCGTCCGTTGTCCGTTCGCGGGGACGTTGTAACTCACCGAAGGGCGGATTGAAACATCGAACCGCGGACAAGATTGCGGATATAGTATCAGTGCGAGAGCTGATTTTCCACTGTGCCCCATGTCCCAACGTGCCCCACCTTCCCCTATATTACACCTTTTTGGGCTTCTGCGGGTCGTGGACCTAATCTTCGGAATTTGTTTTTTGAAAATACACTTTTAGCCCTTACTAGTTCTAAAAATAAATATAAAACAACAAAATAGAAAATATATATTCTGCGTTACACTCTCCAAAGAAAATGAAGTAAATCAACGAGCCTTTAACCTCAATTTGACCTAATGAAATTCACTAACTTTGCGACTAATTTCATAAAACACAACAGACTTGAAAAACTGTCCACTTCATTTTTTCTCATCTGAGTAAAGACCTGAATATTTCCATTAATGAAGGCCCCGCCATGTGTTATTTTCGGAGACCATTTCATAATATTTTAGTGACTAAAGTTTAGTCACTACAGATTTAGGCAATGCATCGCATAAATCCGAGCTTCACATTTAGCCTTTTCAAACTCACTATGACGAAAAGTTTGGATCATATGAAGATTGGCGCGGCGGTGTGGCTCAACGGGCTAAGCGTTAGGAATACGCTCGCCACCGCACCTCTTAATTACTCTGCGTGGGTTCCCAGGTTCGAATCCCATGCAGGGATGGTTACGTGCGAGAGGATTGCTGGACTCCTCGCCATTGTTGGGTGGTTCACGTAACCGCTGGTCGGTTACGGCTTCCTCTACCATCAAGTCCATGCTTCCGAAAACAAACAATATATATAACTAATCCCATACCCGACTTGGAATGGTAACCGGACGAGAGGCCGTGGTTCACCATATGGATAAGCCGTCTTATCGGCTTTCATCTCCCCCGGGATAAATATGTAAATCCTATCCTATCCCACCCCCAAACCTACTTGAGAGGAAGATATTCATGTGATCTAACTTAGGGCAGGATCTTTATATGATCCAAAATTTTAATCAACATCAGATCGGGTCATCTTGTCCGATTACGTGGGATTTTTGTATGCTTCCATTAATTTGGTTACATTTATTACGATTTCATTTAGATCCCGTAGCCTACGTGTTGTAATGTGCCTTAGAATCCATGATAATTTTGTCGCGCGATACTGATAAGCAGGGTGGTCCAAGGGTGCGAGAATGTCCCCAAAAATGTGAGGAGGCCTCGTGTGCCGCGATCGGGAAAACCCAAAAGTAATTAAAATACTGCGAGTTTAGTTGGTTTAAGTATATGGTATTAAAGAATGAGAGTATACCGTTCTAATCAGCCTATTGTTGTGTTGCATCGGTGGCGTTTTTATTGCAATGAAGATATATGGAGCACAAACAAGCAATTTATTGCTACCTGCTTTTGATTACTGCTTCAGATTCACTTGAACAGATTGCTTATGGGAATATATATTATTAAAATAAATTCAGTATGTTCGGAAGTGATTCTTGATTTTGAAAAAGTTGGAATCTGAAAATTTATTTGAATAATTCATGTTTATACAAATTTAGTCCAAATTTCATCCCCTAATCAGAACATGTTTTGTACATAATGTATATAGTTTTTGAGACACTGAGAGTTTAATGAATCAGAACCTGTTCCAATTTATTTATGCATGGGTGGTAACTGACTCAGATTATCGTCAAGTGGTCGTGTCGTTACCGCCCAGTCATCTTCCGAAAACTGTAATATATGTATGTTGTTTCAATATTATTATTTGTATTATTATCCCGTTTCCTGGTTTGACGAAAAAATAAATTATCTCTCTCTCTCCTCCGTGCGGCGGGCCACATGCCAAGGTTTGGACCACCCTGCTCTATAGGACTCATCGAGAGCAAGAGCGATACATAATTTTATTTTTGAATAACACCGAAAACGCTGAATTTTGGTCACCCTCTGTGTTGTCATTTTAGACAAGTTTCTATGAATCTTTATCAACCAAGAATATTCAGTAACTTAGCTTTAATGTTTAAAATAAGGTAGCACCGAAAGATTTGTAAGAACACACAATTTTCTGATGAAAAATTTGTCAAGCACTATTGGAAAGATGCTTAAAATTTACGAAGCCTGTCCTGGGCAACCCTGTTCTAAAATCTAAGTGATCATTATTTGGTGCGGTGGTAAGCCGGTTTTATAGGACTCCAAACTCACGCGTCAGAGCCCTCCCTATGATTGAGCAACGAATGTTGATGGCCACAAAATTACGCTACTGCTCCCCGGGGGTACAATATATGAGTAATTCCTGGTCATCGTCATATTCTGTGTAGGCGGATCGAGGAAAAATATTTTTGCCGTTACCAGTCCGAATAGATTTTTGCCGAAATAACGCCTCGCACTAATGGCCAGGGAAAATCATAAATTTTATATTTGGGGCCTCAACTAATAAAATAAAGCCATAGTGGCAAGGTATTGCTTTGTTCGATTGCGACTGCACGGAATTGTTTTGACGCAGGATTGCGCTCACATTCTGACTCACTCAGAATAAATAAAATTCAGCACTGAAATGGCCATTCTGACGTACCTGCTATGAATATAAATTTTACAAAACTGACAAAGATTTGACTAAATTGAAACAATCAAACCAATCGTGCAGACAGTCATTGATAAATAAGGGCACTTTCCTCTCAGAACGAATAGCGAGCGCTGCAAATTTATTTAAGAGATGTTGACAAGTTTACCGAACATCAGTCGAGATCGACCACTGAAGCTGTAGCGTTCAAGCGCTCGATCGCAATGGCCAGCCCTGATAGATTATCAAAAACGTACCGTACCAGACACAAATTTAAGTTATGCCTTACCCTTATTTTTAAATGAGACATTTATGTAACCGAAGGGAAATTCCCAGTAACAGACAGAGAAATAGAGAGTTAAATACCAAAATATAACAATACAGAACAAAATACTTTGTATAATGATAAAGCTTTGTCATGTATATCCTAAGTTAATGTACTAAATTGACTTTTATTGCTGAAATGTCTACTGTACTGCGCAATGATATTCATCGCGGACTGCCTATACAGGGGGATTGAAATTACTAACATGTAATCCAAGCAATTTATTTTCAAGTGAAATGTCAAATATTTGAAAAGTTTGGTATCGAAAATCAAAATACATTGTTATTGTCTTTAATAAGGGTTAAATGCAAAGGCAGAATTAAAAATAAATGATCAAATTATCACTAAAGGTGGTATTTAAACTACTGCGTTTAATTAAATAAAATTTATAAGAATATATTTCTTAAAACCATACCACTTTCTGTACCATAAAACTATAGTTTAATTTACTTTATGAAGCAAAATTTAGTATACAATGCAAATATAGAAGACTAATTAGTTACGGTATAGTTCTCGAAAATAGGAGGAATAATATTATGAGGGAATTTTAAAGGAAATTTAAACTGCGAACGTCATTCCATGTGGAAGGATCAGAATATTTGATTCAATAGATCAACATTGGGCAAACCGCGGCTCAGAGTTTTTATGCGGCTCTTCTCGCTGACAATAATTATATATTATACAAATTTAACTAGAAGAAACTGCAGCGCAGCAGTTTTTTTTAATTCATTAAGCGGTTGATGAATATATATTCTGCAATATTGTTATTATACGTTTGTGTAAAGTTCTTTTCAGTTCACGGTATTCTAATATTATTAATTTCAAAAATTACGCGGCTCTAACATATTTCTGACTTGCTGCATGCGGCTCTTGTACTGAAAAATTTTGCCCACCCTTGCAATAGATATTCAACATTAGGAATAGGAACCCTCAATATATGGACGAATTTTGCTATCTCATTTGGGTGAATATCAAAAGCAAATATATTTCATGCGGATATCTATCACCTAGGAGAAAGTTTTCAATGGTCATTTCGAATAAAATATAATATAGCAGCCAGTTGGTACAATGCAGTGGGCCAATCGGGTGTGATGGATGGGTTTACATAGATTCTCGAATTTTTATCAAAAAATATTTTAAATGTTCTAAAAATGAGCAATTTTTGGCACAAGTTCAATGGTGGTAAAATCCCTTATCTTTATTGTTTAAAATACTATTGAATATTTAGTTTAGAAAATCTGACAGAGTGAAATTTAAGAACCTATCCGAATTAACGAATGCTTGTAGATATTTGTTACCTCATATTGAATCTCCTCAGTGACCTTGTAGAGAAAATAAGACAACAACTGTTTGGTACTATGCATTTATACAGCAGATGAAAACAAAAATAAAACACTGATTTGGAACATCATAAAAGTAAACTAAATTTTACAAAAAATTACAGGAAGAAACCAAAAGCCAGACATCTTACAAGCTAATTTTATACTTTCTATGGACTGTAGAATTTGGTCTGGTTATTTTACGGACTCCTTCTGTTATAAGGTCCTTTAAACAATGAAATTACCACAAAGTACCAAAAGTTGAATAAGTATAAATGTTACAGATCCACCATAGCCCTCCTTATTTTCTTGAATGAGGTGTAGATCAGATTAAATCTTTGTGTAATGAGTTTCACAGATGGTTTAACCCCTTGTACTTGTATCAAACTTTTGACTGACTTCAATGATTTTCAGAATTACTATGTTATCAATTGCTAATATGTACAATAGAAAAATAACTTAACTAAAATTTGGTAAAAAAGGAGTCCTATAAAAGCTATAACAAAGAGTAAAATACTTGAAAGCAAGCATGCAAATGAAATTGCAATAAATAAAATATATATAAGTGACACAAAGGAAAGCAATTAATAACAGTATTCCTTTGTCTTGAGCATTAAATTTTAAAAATAAAATAACCAAAATTTAGCCGACCGAGTGTATGACTGAGCGATGATCCCTAATAGCAAATTTAACTATGAATTATTCGGTTTGTGAAATGAAAATATCATTTGTTAAACAATATGAGTAACAGTGAAGAGAAGACCATGTCCGAATAGTGAAGAATAACAACACCGTTCAGAAGGTATTTTAACAAAACTGGGGGTATCCAATGTTTCTGAAGGGTCTTAAAATCCAAATTTAGACATAGATTTTCAACACTTTTAATATCATAAATTGTTTGCAGAACACCGTAAAAAAATTTCTGATTTTCGAAAACAATCCAAATAACTACCTAATTATTGTTTTATTCAGTATTGGAATAGAAAAGAGATACTGAAAGCATAATACCCAGCAAAAAGTCCACCATCATGCAACAGACTAGTTGACACCAAATAAGCGCTCAATGATTTTAATTTCTGTCTTTATGTCTTCCATTAAACACCAATGCTCCATACAAAAAACCGGTTGAAAATCACTGCATTTGACTCCTTGCAATAAGACAAATATTTTAGACAATTCCAGGGAGAAGACGATGGCATTTATGATGGTCTTGTTGAGAAAATTTTAAATATGATACTACAGCAGATGTTGAATTATTTTCATAGAATCATAACCAACTATTCAGATATGACATCACTATATGATTTATTAGACAATATTTCAGATGGGAATAAAAAGAGTTATCATGTAATGCTAATCTGTCAATGGCAATTCCGTAACTATGTTTATCTAAAATCAGGTTGCGAGGAATGTCAAATGCACTATCAGTAATACTTATACAATACTGCTAAAATCAATCAGTAAAATCAACATAGTTCACATACAGAAGGTAAAATGTATTCGCTAAATGGGAACAAGGCTATTAATGCTAAAATTTTTATGGCAGCATAAATAAAACATTATTCATCTATGAGGCAGTCTATTATGCACTGCAGAACAAGTGCTATTTTCTAATACTGCATTATATCTCCATTTTGAGTTTGACTTTGAGCTGCCATCTTTTTCCGTGCTTCAGCTAGTCGTTTTCTGGCTGCTATTCTGCGAGCCTTTTCTTGATCCGAAATACCATTTGATTGATTAGCCACCTACAGAATACAAAAAATTATTTTCATATTTGCATAATTTGGATATTCGGATATCTCAATAGATAGATTGCGTTTGTATTATTCTGAGCGTTATAATTTATTCTGAAAACTAGAATAGCAGACAATAAACACAGTACTTCCCATAACTTTGACCCCTTTGGTTCTAACATTAAATCTACAGTTTTCCAAGAGTTCAAAATTCATCACTATTTACAGTGGAGCCATTTAGTACTTGTCAGTAGGAATGTGTCAGAAAATCTTTGAATATGAGATCTCAATGATGCAAACCTAACTTGCTGGCCTCACACCTGCCCTTTTGACTTCAAAGTGGAATCTGTGAATTATTAATTTGCAAACAAATATTAACCAAATCATCTACTATAAAAAATCATTCCAATAAATGAAAATGTTTTTGATCTGGAAGAGACCAAAATTTTTTTGAAAAAATCTTTCCAGCAGTTCAATTGCATTAGAGATAAAGACCATGTCATATGCTGTGAGAAAATTTAGTGTACTTTTTCGAAGAATCAATTCTCTATAATTATACTGTAATAAAACATAATCTCATCTAATGATTACGTTAGTCACAACTATAGAGATCAACTGGTAGGAATATTAGATTTATATTTCAATATCAAGTAAACATATCCAAAAGAGTTGCATAATTTCCTGATTTTGTGGATGAAGATGGCTAGCTGATCAATAAACTATATTTCCATTGTTACTTCGTGGTATTACATATACAGCAGTTAGCAACATAAATAAGAGATGAATACCCTCAAAATTTCAGGTTTAACGTTTAATAATATTTATTGTAATCGATATTCAACCTGTATTAATCTAAACTAGGAGTGGCCAACCTACGACTGGCAAGTCGCATGCGCCTCTTGCATCGGTTTCACGCGACTCTTTTTGCCTTGGTTATTCTAAGGAAAAAATAACTTGAAAACTATGATTCTGATTCATCCTGTTTCGATCAAACATATTACCGGTATGCTTCATCGTGCATTCCTCTCTTGTCAAACACACACGAGCACTGTCATTCACTTTGCCATTCAACCGTCCATTATAAATGCTGCCTGACCGAGCAAAAGGTGTGTTGGCATTTGTTAATAATAATGGACTGAAGCTGTTCAAGCCGAATATTCAAGGGGGAAATTCAACGTATTTTCCCACTCAACTAATTGCAAGCGTGAAAGTCTCTATCGCTGCCCTGAATAAGAAAAGATATGCAACACTTCTTGGAGCCCTGGAAAAAAATGTTGTGCTGCGGATCCGTGACAACTTGAAAGGCCACAGATTACGTTCCTCATCATCCCATTTAATTCTGAGACGGATTGTTTGAAATTTCCTCTGATCTCACTCAGATGAGGCTGCAACTGAGTTGGAAATGATCGATCCTAACGAGGAAGACCAAATGAAATGTGCTTTAAGGGAAGGGACCCTTGACCTCGAGTTTTGGAAAATCATGCCAATGGAAAAATACCCCAATGTCAAACAAGCTGCGCTTAAACTACTGTCAATGTCTGGATCAACATACGTCTGCGAATCTGTATTTTCTAACCAAAAACATATGAAATCGAAGCACCGATCTGTTCTGACTGACACCCCGACAAGTCCTTTTCTTGCCATTTGCCAAGGACTACTTACCAGAAAAATTAATGAAAGGCTTGGCTATCAAAAAATCTCGAACAAAGTAGACAAAAAGAAATGGTCCACATACTTGAATTATAATCATGTTCCTTTAGACCAGGGGTCTCCAACTCAAAATATGTCGCGAGACACTTTTTGAACTTCATTGACGATGCAGGCCAAAACCAACAAATTAGTTACAAAATTGAGGAATCTGATTGTATTTGTTGAAATTACACTTGAATTCTACACCAAGCGAGACATGAAACATATTCAATTACTTGTGCTGGATATTTGGCACCGTTTTGTAGTGCTTGCAAACGACCATCCGTCCGTTAGTCGTGTGCGAAAGGCTGATTTCTTAACTTTCATTGATGAAAGAAAAGTCTGCTATTGCTTCACAAGCCTTCAACACTCAATCTTCAATAAAGCTTCCTCCAACGAAAGGACGCGAAGCGAGTTTCGTTTATCTCCGAGAAAAAATTTCTGTTTCATCAGTGAAAATTGTAATTGCAATAGCTTTTCGTGACGAATTGTTTCATGACGAGCATGACATTTGTCTCTGTGTAATGAGTCTTGATATCGCTGGATGTTGTATTCTTTTCAAACAGCAATAACTGCGCCAGATATAAGACACAGAACCTCACTATTATAATTTCAAACAAAATACAGATCCTCCCGCTTCTCTTAAAATATTCTGGGCTTTTCCGAACATTTCTGCTTCTTGGACATTGCGTTTGGGTTTGCTACTGTATATAAAGTTTGTAATAATCTAATTTCAGTTTCATAACTGCACACTTCAATGATCTGACCGAAACTTGTTTATTTCGTCATGATAAAAACTAAATTATTGAATTCACAATTTAATTATTACAATAAAATATGAACGTTGTAATGTGTAATACCAGGGGGAATTTTTGTTTTACTTTTCACACTTTGTCGAACCGGACATTTGGTGTTAAATAACACCATAAATAAATTGGCATCGTACTATTTTAGATTTTTCTGGAAAAATCTCAACCATGACGCGGGCCGCAAAAAATTGCCTGGCGGGCGGTGTGTTGCAGACCCCTGCTTTAGACAAAACAATTAAAATGAAACTGACTATTTTAGACTTTGTGTTCCCCCTTTTCCTAGCATTAGTTGTTTTCTTCACCACCTTTTTCTGAGCAAGTTTTTTATCATTTTCATGCAATATCTCATGATTCCAACCGCTTTGTTCAATTTTGTCAAGTCGTTGAAATTTAGTTGAAACATCTTGTACCTGCAAAGAATCAAAATCATGAGTACGTCCACGTTTTTATCATTTTTCTAATGAAAACGAATACTTCAAAAATCCTAAATTAGGATTAGGATTCCCAATTTAGTCTACTAAAAATGGAAACTATGTTGATGTTGTACAGAAGTTTTAACTTATGAAAGCCGAAAACAACTAAAATTAACCAAGGATGAAAATATTTTCAAGTTGAATTATAATTCAAAATTATAAAACTTCGATGTCAAGGCATGATTGATTATTCAATAAAAACAGTAGGCTATTTCGATTCTGCAAATTTAAAAAAAATAATTTAAAGATCACTTTTATAACATTATTTCTTACTTGATAATAAATCATATCCCAAAAACCTTGGAGATCACTGAGAGTTATTATTTTTGTGTCTTTGAGTTGTTGATGTAAGGCTTGTTTTTCAGATTGTTCCACTAGTGATTTGAATTGCGTGAATCTTTCTGATATAACCAAATGAGTTTGGCCATTTAGCGAACGAATTTCATCACAAACTAAAAGAAAATAAATAATTTATAGCTATGCTTTACAACAGAAAATAATTTTTTTAAGAGAATTGAATAAATCAAGTAGAAACTGATATGGACAAAGGTCTGAATTTGGCTCAATTCCTGTCATTTTTATGTGATGTATGGCACGTAAAAATGCAACACGAACTTCTTTGATGACTTTTGAAATACAAAATATCTACCATTTATGTGAATAGCGTCAGTGTGCAACACCAAATCATGGTCAAACTGTGCCGTATTTTATGTACATCTATTTAATTTTGAATTGTGGAATAAAGCAAGAAAAGTTACAAATATATGGTAACATGATAGACAAAAGCAAAACTCTGAAACAATTTTTTTCAAGCTTGAATGAATGCGTGCATGAAATATCTATCATCTAAGTATTCAGTAATGGTGATCCCAGAAAAAGCAAGTGATATTGTGGATCAATTTATTGCCCTCAAACCAACAGCCATGCCAGAAGCCATCATTGATTATTATAAGATTTTAATTGTCAGGTTCTGACCCACACAACACTGCTAGGTGAGATAAGTTCAACTGCAGTTCCAATAACTTAGATAAATGGTTGTTGAAACAGTAATAAAAGTCATATATGAATATAGTTCAGTTGATTTGAATAGTTATTCATAAAATTTTCTAAATCTTGATATTTGTACTTCAGTAATGCTCAGTTGGGCCGGATTGCAAAACAGCTTATCAAACACATGATACCTTTTCCGAAACTTCTTGATGTTCTACACCAGGGGTTCCCAAACTAGGGGTCGCGAAACCAAATTGGGTCGGAGCTATAAGTGGGTAGGATCGCAAACAGGTCATGGGGTAGGTGGGGTCGCTGAGGTATGGTAGAGGATGGATGTACAAATCATCTAAGATTTAACAAACCATGTTAAATTTAACAGTTTGTACCATGGCTTACTGTAAAACAGGCCCATAAGCATCGCTCTGTGCTTATGTTATAGAAAATGTTGGTGCTTATTGTGTTATCACTGTTTGGTTTTAGCTTATTTTACTTAATACCACCACATGACCAAACTCAAAAGTCTAGTGAAAGAAGCTCTAAAGTTTCATGAAAAATATATATATTGACCTGGGGGCGCACTGGACACATGAAAGTTGTCTTTGGGGTCGCCCTGAAAAAACTTGGGAACCCCTGTTCTACATCCTCACAATAATTCACTAAATATCACCCGCATGTCAGGCTATTCATTAGTTTTGATGAAAATTCACTCAACAAAATGCCATTATTAATACACTGAAGCTTGTGGAATTTCATAATTTGATATAGGTATGTAACGTAAAAATGGCCTTTTTTATTGAAAGACCAGTGTTTTGTATTGAGCACTTGAAAAGTTTAGCCTCAGTTGGACATCTAAAGAGTCAAAAGTAACTTGTTTAAGCATGGGACAGGTTTGTGTCATAACTATAATTATAGCATCTGTTTGAAATGTAATTGTTTAATTACCTTCTTCATGAATGTGTGGATGATCCAACAAAACTTCTTCCCACTTTTGTAGTAGTTGTTCAAGTTTACTAGTTTCTTGTTTCAGTAAATTCTTGAAGTATAAGATATCGTGTTCTCCTAAAAGTAATAAGAATAAATATTTTTAATACATCAAATTTTAGTACAAAGTAACGTATTCAATAATGTATCCCATATTTTGAAATGCAATAATGCAATATCATATTTAAAGATGGAAATTCTAAATTGGCAATATTTCAAACACTCGTATATTTTAATATGACTTTGTTCTGTTTTAGTTTGGTGAAAGTACATCAGATTAATGTTGCTCAAACTTAATATTACCTATGACCATCTGTGGTGCATTGAGATTGTATATTAGGCCTTAAAGAGGAGAGTTTTCCGAGCAATAATACCTTGTCTTATTAATGACACATTTATATACCTTTATGCAAAGAACAATAAGTATCATTTGTCACGCTAGGTACCAGTTTTCAAATATCTCACACACAACAATTGCATACCATGCAATAGGTCAATGAATTCCCAATGGAATACCAGTAAGTGTCTGCCTGGCAGGCAAGTTGCCAAATTGTCAATTTAATTGCTGCCTAAAAAATGTCAAGCAGGTGTAGAGCAGCATTCATATCTATAATTACACTTGATTAATATTTCCCAAACAATTCAGGCAGGAAATGGTTGGTGTTATGCCCAAATTGACATGTATCATCACTAGGGCTGGAAATGGTAAACCGGTTAACCGATTTTAGATGGTTAACGGTTACGATTTGTTTTAACCGTTGACTGACATCTCAGGTACAAATCATCTTTATAATGTACAATTTCATCAAAAGTGATTACGACATCGCAAATTAATCTCCTGCGGCGTTTAAATCAAAAGAATATCACTAACTGTATTGGTAGGACCCAATAAATGAAAAAAATAATTGAAGTACCGGTACCAAGATTGCTGATTATGGAATTTTGAAAATGACAAATTCCGAATCAGTTTTTGGTCAAAATATATTGTTCACGATTTTATTGCAAAATCAGTGTATTCAATGTCATACAATAAGTGCGCAGTTGATGCTGTTTTCTTTATGATATCTCAGTGTAGAATTTGCATGCCGAACACTGAAAATTTGTCACATAAATGACATTTAATAACAGATTCGGGTTTTACTAAAATACTTCCATATGTCCGAAGCACACTGCATATCTCTTGCAGCAGAACGATCATGAAACTATCTCCATTCATGAGTAATTTTAAGCGATACTGCGATAAGATCACCCGAAATTGCTTTGTAACCATTCACCATTGTGACATAACAAGCTAAAATTATAAAATATTGCGTCAAACATCACGCTGCGGACTGCGGTTAACCGATTGAGGTGTTTTCCCTGAAATTCCCAAAAAAATGTTTTCATTTCTTTATTTTGTTTGTCATTGCCAAACCTTCCGATTTTAATTTTTTTTGAATTGTGTTATGTCTATGCAAATAAAATGAGATGTAATATTTTGGCTTTCCGGTGCCAACTAATTTTTTACCCTCTACGCCAGGGGTGCACAACCTTTTTTCTTCGGACGTCCGCATTACGATTTTATAAATGGTTCATGGCCGCCAGAGAAATCGAAGTTATTTATAAGTCATATTTATTTTAAAAATTGGCTTTTATTGATATTTCTCATTTGCGTGCATCTAAAATGTTTATGGAATGGTTAAATTTAAACAAATATACTGAATAAAAATGTCCAAAGGTGATCAAATGTTTTTATTGAATCGATATTCAGATAGTTTAATCTATAGTCTGATGAAGAGAAGCCAGAGCACTGGTGGACACTTACTTTAATAATGATAAGTCGACTGAAAAAGGCCTTCAAGGCCCTGATTTAGGTCATTTTTACAATAAATTCTCAACAGTAGGCTACATATACTAGATAAACTTTCTAGCTTTGAATAGTTCATTAAAGGTTTTTTACAGACACTTGACAACTACTGCACATACATAGTTTTTATTAGTTAGCTCAAATATTGAAAATAAGAACTTTTCGTCACCTATAAAATTTTTACGTATGCAACCCAGGTATTAATCGAGGCACTTTTTTTTACTGTTTTGCAAATTTCTATAGATTTACAACGATTGCAATGTAATTGGAGCGTACTGCTACCACTCGATAATGTCGTAAATTTTATATAAACATGTAGACAAAAGGGCCTTCCGGAAGGCCCTATGTTTTTTTTATACTATTTAACTATTTTGGCCGAATTGAAGAGTACAGGGCTTCAGATGAAAGCAATAAAAGTTGTAGTTGCAAGCCTGGGAATTACTGGATAACATAGTCTCTTTTTTTTCATATCTCGAATAATAAGCAAGTTACCTAGTTTACTGATCAGAAAATGTGATTATTTGTAATTGCAGGCACTTTTTTTTAGACAAAGCATGATTTCATGTTGGTTAATTGATTAAGTTAGAAACAAAATGCAATACAGAATGTTCGATGATATATAAAATTTGGAAATTACTAGAAAAAAAGGTAGGGCCTTCCGGAAGGCCCTATGAAAATAATCAGTTGTAGCCTATAGGTATCGATGTGGAATCTTAATATTAGGAGGAAAGCCAGTTTTTTCGAAGGGAAGCCAAAATGAAACGCAAATTATCATTTTTGTTATAGATTAACATAATGAATATATTTGAGTTGAGTTTAAGCCAGTGTTTCCCAAACCGAGTCTGCGGTCTCAAACGAGTCATGGGGGGGTTCGGGGTCGAACCCCCCCCCCCTTTTGAATTTTCTTAAAGGTGAAAAAGTTGCCGATAACACATGCAATTGCCTTCTGCTAAAATCGCCGTTCGTTTTCATCAACGCGGCGTGTTATTTATGCCGTGAACGCCCTTTACATTGGTGTTTATTCTCTTTAAATCACAAATTTGTGCCGCGGGAACAATGATAATTATTTTATTTTTATACTCGCACGGAAATGTGAGAACTGAAAAAGCGTGCAATTGCCTTCTGCTAAAATCGCCCATGTTTTCATCAGCGTGTTATTCAGGCAGTAAACGCCCCCTACGTCGGTTTTTATTCTTTCGAAATCTTAAATTTGTGCCACGATAAACATGATAATTATTTTTATTTTTGTACTTTGCACGGAATTGTGAATTCGTGAGTTATTATACGTTCATCGGTGGCGAGGTTCTAAAGACAAAAGAAGGAGTAAAACCGCGATCTAAATTTGATTGAAATGCGGCATTATAAAATACTGAAAATAAAACCGTAAACAATATAAGTTTTGTTGAGTCCCGCGACAGTCTAAAAACGCTTTTCTAGTCGCAAAATCACAAAATTTCGTGTGCTTACAGCGCACATTATGTTTAGTCCCGTTTAGGAACATACCGTCACTAAAATCGAAACACGGTTAATTGTGGGTGGGATTTGCCTTTTATACGTTACTTTAAAATTGTCGTAGAAAATTTTCGTGTTATCATTAAACAAGGTTGAAAACGCGATTTTTTCCCGGTTTGTGATGATATATAAGATAATTAATCCGAAGTATATCCATCAATTTTTATTGTACTGAAATAAATTTTACTCCATGATAATTTACAGCAGATTTACGGATTTTTCAGGAGGTTTTATCTTTAAAAATATTCGGAGTGTCAGCATTGCGATTGAACGGAGTCAATGTTACAAGCACATCTCAAATTTGTCGAATTTGCAAAATAGAAAAAATACGGATCAAAACAATATATGATAGGCGACGGGCAGTTACCACAAATTTTTATTTTTATGTCGGCAAATGGCTGAGGTATTTTAAAATTGTGAATTGTAAAAAATTGTTTTTTTTTTGTCGACGCAAACGCTGGTTAAATTGAAGACAATTAAATTAATAAAGCAAGACATTTTAAATATGCCCTTATCGGTCACGAATTGATTACTTTGCCAACAAAAAAATCATTTTTCGTTGTAAACGTCTCTCTTTTAACAAGTGGCGTAATCGCGGCGATGAATATGTATTTTTGATTTAACGATTACTTCATATGCATTTTCATTGTACGAAATAAAATTGTACTTTTCGGGATTTTATATCAGTTATTGAGATTTTTCTAACGGTGATAACGAGTTGGCAAGATTCCAAAAATACGTATTAAAATTAAATACACCGTTTATCTCATATTTTTATGTCCACGGATCGCCGTGGCATTTCAGAGAACTAATGTTTTAATTTTGACGTAAGAAGAAGCAACCGCGAGTTACGTTGGACACAATTAAACTAATATATAGAACATTTTAGAATTTTGTAGTTGTCAGAGATTGAATATTTCACGCGACAAGAATAATCATTATAGGCTGAAAAGACGTCCCTTTAACGAGCACGTAATGCCAAGACTGTTGCAGACCGCAATGGGAATTTATGATTATGAACCCCCCCCCCCCCTTTTTGAAAATCCTGGCTGCGCGCCTGCGCGGGGGTTTGAATGAGTTCGCAACAAGTCAGAAATTCACTGCGGGCCGCAAACATTTTTGCGAAACTTTATCATCAGCCAAGTTACGATTTACGTTAGAATTTACATAAAACATAAAAAGCAAGTTTATTCACATTTAACATCAGTCGATTCAATATTTACTGGATACTGAGTAGGGCTGGGCATATATTCAACTATTAGAATATCAATTTACTATTCGAAAATTTGGTAACAGGTGGCACGACAGGTCACTTTCGCGTCGCTTAATCAAACGATTGGATTTCCCAACTCACTTGCGGATTTCCGACGAAAAAACGAGTCGGCACACGCCTGGATAGATACCTAAATAGTGTTTCTCGCGCGCTTGAACAACTAGGAATAATAATTTTTTTTTCTGGTAGGTATCAATGGTGGTAACCTAAATTTTCTTAATTGAAAAGCGGCAATACTAAAAATAAAATGGAGAACACCATAGGTTTTGTTTTATGATGGTCCACGACAGATTAAAAACGCTTTTTTATACATTGCAAATCGCAAAATTTCGGGGGCTACTGTAGTATACTGTAGTAAGGACTTTTCCCGTAAGATTATTTGCTTCACTGTCTCCACACTGGTACGTACAGTACTGGAGCGCCGTAAGTGTTGTACAAACAGCTCAG